CGGGTCCCCGGTTTCCCCGTTACGGTCTGTGATGGGTACCCGGGTTCTCTGTCACGGTCTGTGATGGGTCCCCGGGTTCTCTGTCACGGTCTGTGGGGGGGGGGGAGTGGGTCCAAATTTCTACTCCTAAACACTTCAACACTCCTTTTAGATCGTGTTTCACAAAATATACTTCATTTTATATGTATCATATTGTTAAGCTTACCGGAAAGAAACCATTTTCATTTTTAGAAAGTTTGTCAAAAATCTAGCCGAACGAAAGGATATGTTTTATTAGGTCTAACTACAGAATTCTCCGAAAAAGCAAAATTTCTTGAAGCAATTCAGATGGATTTTTTGACAGAACTACGAACGTTTCAAGTTTCGATGGAAATAACAAAAAATTGTTTTGCTGACCTATTATAGGATTTCGTATGACACTTATGTAGCCCTAAGATTCAATCTAGGCGATAATTCATTCTTTTACGCCCTTCTGAAGGTGCTTTACCAAACAATATGAAACTTCTGATTCGAAAAAAACTGAACTTTTTCTTGAGTTCAATTCTGTAGAAAATACTTAAGACTATGTACCACATGAAATAGATCAATAGAGTTGTATGCCTGCTTACAGGAATCTAGCGTGGCTTTTCAAAGATCTTCTGAAAAATAAATTTTTCTAATGAAAAAAATTCTTGAGTTATTTGTAAAACATTCGAATACTTTAACTTCTGGTGTCAATAATAGTTTCAAGACTACGTCTATTCACGTCTTAGTTTCTCAATGCTGAGTACTAAGAATACTTGCTGCTTACATTTAGTGGAAGCATCGGATAACGATATACTTTTCCATCGATCTGTTTCGTATCCATCCAATTAATGTAATGAAAATCATAGGTAAGCTGAAAACAACAAAACAAGATATATTCATTATTAATGTATAACAGAAAACATACATGAAAATCTTCATGTTTCTTATCATTATGACTATGAGTTATACATCGATCAAATAAAACTGGTACACATTCTGGTAAATGTTCAATTAAACCAAGTAATGGTGTTTGATATTTTAAACTTTTTAAATCTAATGCTTCTTTCCATCTAATATTATCGAAATAAAAATAATTAAAATTAAGAAACAAAAACAAAAAAAAAAACAAAGGATCTTATTTTTTTCTTTTACCGATCATGAGCAATAATAGTAAGACAAATATCTTTTTGTTTTTGTATAATTGCTAAATCAAAAAATGTTTCACCATCAGTATTTGTCAAAAATGTTGCAGATTTCGAAAGAAGTAAATCAACACAATCAACATAACCAGCTGCAGCAGCTAAATGTAATGGTGTCATTCCAAGACGATTAATTGAATTAATTAAATGAGCATGTCCTTGAAGAATACTATCAATTGTTGATACATGTCCATTAGCAGCTGCTTCATGTAATGGTGTATTTCCATCATAAGTTTTTGTAAATTGAGCTCCTTTATGCAAAAGTAATTGAACAACACGTGTATGACCATTTTGACAACAAAGATGAAGTGGTGTTTGACCGAGTTTATCTGGTTCATTGAGAATACGTTTAAAACCAGGTGTATCCAATAATTGACGACATGTATTATATCGACCATATCTGAAAATAGATTTAAATATTTTTTCAATAAAATACTTACATTTAAGGATGTTTTTATGTTGAATCTGGTTCTGAGTTTAGAACAGAAATCGATTGAGAGAAAAGCGCTTTTTTTTTGTCCGGTAGATTTATAATATTGATCGAAACTTTTGGTGCTGATCACTGTAACTAAGATCTCTGCTCTGTTTAATCATTAAATGCTATGTAGTTTTATTATTGTCAACATTTTGAATAGTTTGTGTATATAACAAAGTATGACAGACTTTTAACTATTGAAATTATTAGTAAATAGTTTGAGTGAGTTTCGGAACCGGGACCGAAAGTTAAGTTTATAATATACATTGACACTATCACCTGGAATTCACTCGAACTCTAGCCAGTTTCATCATAGTGTTATAAATGCACAATATTAGATGAAACTACTCATCTTCTAGATATGGTCTAGTGAAGATGAGTAAACTATGCTGATAATATCCACTGATTACACTCAACTATTATTTATATGAATGCATGCTGACCCGAGGCAAAAGTCTTCAAATAATAAATTGCTTTCGAATCGAAACCATATTCAGTAGATCGGGTTTACTAAGTAGGTAAATAGCCTAGAGGAGTTCGACCTACTAAACCTTTGTTTCTGAGATTAGGAATGTTTAATGAATTATTCTTGTAGAAGTCTCGTTTTCAAGCAAAATCAAACTTTTGAATTTCGGCCCTAAAACTTTGCCCACATAAAGAGATCGATTAGAGTAGTATGTAGAAAATTTTCAGTATTTTTCGATTAAGTATTCTCAAGATATGAGTTTTTCAAAATATCCATGTTCGGGAGAGACTTAGTGAAATAATTCTAATTTTTTTTTTCTACAAGCTACTCTAATGGGTGCTTTTATACGAACAAAGTGTCAGATAGCAGCAAAGGTTCAACAACTCGATTCATTCTAGATTATTTACTTACTCACTAGATCTTATCGATTGAATATAGTTTCAGTTTTAAAAGCGATTTATCACTTGGAGATCTTTTCTTGTTTGTACAGTACACGAATAATATTAGTCAATCACATGTAGTCGTTCTTCTTATGATAGAGCAATTCAAATTATATGCGAATATTGATACATGATTTCAAGCGTCTCGAAAATACGCCTGATAAGGTCACGAAAAAAGACTGGATAGATAGAATTCAAACTATTTTTTTGTTTTCTCTTCTTGTAATCAAGTCTTCTCGTTTTCATATATTATATATTATATTATTAATTGAGGTCTGCATAAACTCCGGATAGACAACAAACAGTAGTCCTAAAATTGATTGTATCAAAACTAAATATTGTTTGATTTTAAGGGAATGATCTTATATATGATATCAATCAGAGTAGAATTCAAGAGAAATGGCCTAAGAAAAGTATCAGTAGTCGACTAAGCAAATCAAAAAAAAAAAGAGTATTGAAGAATTTTTTTGAGATGTGATACAAATAAATTTTTGGAATTATTTTCTCTAAAGAACTTGGTTCCACATATCCACGAGATATTCACAAATGATTCTTATAGAGTCGAAATCCATCGACTTTAAAATCTACATCCATCTCTTAACTTCGATAACTTACTCAGCAGCAAAATGTAATGATGATTGTCTTTGATTTGTTTTTCTATTTATTTCTGCTCCATGTTTTATTAATGTTTTTAATACATTAACTTGTCCTTCACGTGATGCATAATGTATGGGATAAAATCCATCTTTATCACGTTGATCAAATAATGTACGATAATTTTCTCGAGTAAATAAAATATTACCAATTGTTTCAATTGGTAGATTTTGCATGATTATAAAATGAAGTAAATTTTTATCAGTATCATCACGACAAATTAATGAAGCATTTTGAGATAAAAGATAACAAACAGCTTGTACTGATGATTTTAAAGCAGCAATTAATAATGGTGTTCGTTTAGATATATCACGTACATCAATATCTGCTCCCTAATAAATTTAAATATTAAGAATATATATATATATTTCTTAAAATAAATAAATTTACTTCTTCAAGTAAAAATTCAATAACATCAACATGATCACCCATGGCTGCCCTTGAATAAAATTTGATTATTAAGATAAGAAAATGAAACAAACAATTTTGTTTTTTTTTATTTAGTTACTTATGTAATGGTGTCATGCCTTGAATATCTGTCATACGAATGACTCTTGATTTAAGTTCTGATTGACAATTAAACATTAATTTAAGAATTTCAATTGAACCTTGAGATGATGCTAGATGAACAGGTGTTGATAAATCTTCTTGTTGATCATCAATTTTGCCTCCATTTTTGAGACAAATTTCAACTGCTTCAATATTTCCACCTAGATTTTTATAGAAACAGAAAAATAAAACAGAATTTATTTCAATAATAAAACAATTACCAATAACAGATGAATGTAATGGTCGATGATTTTCAGCATCACAAAAATTTAAAATATGTTCAGTATCATATCCCAATGATTTAGCTAAATTTTTATAATTATATGATAATAACAAAAAAAAAAAAATAAAATAATGATTTACCAACTGCAAATAAATGACTAAATACTCGATTACTACTATTCAATGCAGCTATATGAATAGGATAGCTGCCAGCATTACATCGTTGACAAAGACGAGCATTATGATTTGTCTAAAAGAATATTATTCTCATTAATAATAATAATAATAATAAAACATAATATTAGTAAACATACAAGAATTTTTGCTGCATCGACATTATCAATTAAAGCAGCATAATGAAGTGGTGTTCGATCTCGTTCACCGCCAAGATTAACNCCGGTCTAAAACTCGTACCGGTACCGGACCGGACCGGTCGGTAACCGGTACCGGTTCCATCTCTGGTTGTAATTATGATTATGTTTTATTTCTCATTTATTATGTGATGTTTTTAAGATAGTGTCGGGACCGAGAGGATGGGAACTTAATATCCAAACTATCTGTGAAGAAGAAGTAAAAACCGCTGTGATTAGGCTGCAAGAGAGAATTCAAAGTCACCTATATCCATCTGTCATTTTCTACGTCTATTCAATCCATCAACATTAATTAATTTTCATGTCAAAAACATGATATCAATTTGAAAAAATATTTTCTTTTCGTTTAAGGAAATAAAAACTTTATGATTATTATCATCTGTCAATCTGATTCATTTCGACAATAATTAAATAAATCTATTTTGTTTTTTAATTTCAACCGCGAGATCAAATTCTTCAGAGAAAAACAAATTTATATGAACATACTTCAAGAGCTTTTAATTGATTATGTATAATAGCTAGATGAATAGGTGCTTCTTGTTGTTTAGTTAATCGAACATCATCAACTCCATTATCCAAAAGAAATTCAATGGCATTCAATGCATTATTTCGTACAGCATGATGTAATGGTGTCCAACCATCTTTGTCTTGAATATTTAAATCTAAAATAATTTTTATTAATAGAACTTTCTTTTTATTTATAAATCAAAACAATATACCTTCATTATATTGTGAAATTAATGCTAAAATTCCAACTCGATTTCGAGCAGCAGCATTATGAGCTGCGCAAAGACCAGCTGGATTGGCTACTTTTAATTTACTTGAATCATCACGAATAAGACGTTCGAATTCATCTGTATTTCCAGTTCCAGCAATCTAAAAATGTCAAATTCTACTAATATAATAAATGATTACATATTAATCATACTCGAACAATATAATGTGGACTATCAGAAAATAAGCATATTTCATCATTATGTGTATTCTTTTTAATACTTGCTAATGTTTCAGTCGTTTCACTTGATTTTATTAATGTTTTTGATGATGTTATAAGTTCATGTCCTGGTTGTAAAATCTTATGTTTTCTTGAACGACTAAATACATTATGAAATAATTTTGGAAATTCAACATGAACTCGTTGTTGATTACTTGTTCTATTTGATAAAGGTGTATTAATTCTTATTAAAAAACAAATCACAACAACAAATTATAATGATTTTATCTAATGCGACTATATCTTACGCAATATCAAATGTTGATTTTTTTGTTGATAGTGAACTTTGTGAATTAGTTGAAAACATTAGATGATAAGTTATATCTAATAATAAAAAATAAGTAACATAAATGACGTTATAAAATTTCTTTTTTTTTAGTAATAATATACACTATATCTTATTTCATCATCATCATGACAAAGCAAAAAAACAAAGGAGTTGGAGTATCTATTAATTTATAAATGAGTCAAGTCAAATATGCGCATAAGTGCATGTTAAATTGTTCGATGATATAGTGTTTTGAGAGTCAAATATAATGTAATAGCAAGAAAAAAATTCCCCAAATCGAAGTATTCTACAATTCTCTAGAGCAAATATAAGAAAAAAAAAGAAACTAATTTCCGATATAATGTCCTACCTTTTGAATAATAGTATACAAAATGGAAAATTATCTATCGTACCCTAAGGATATGATATTCTGACATACTGCATTAAATATGAAAATTTTATTATTATTCATAGCTACTATAATAGATTGCATTAGCAAGTAATAATGAATTGAGATTGGAAATAGACTCAGAAAAGAATTTCCGGTGTTTCTTGTTATACTTTTATTAAATGAACACTCTTTCTTTTTTTTCAAATATACAAAAATAGAAATAAAAATTTTACGTATTGAATATATTCCTATTAATTAAATTGATGAAAAAAACAAAAATATCATTTTTATAATAAAAATGAATCAATGCATTTTAAAAAAATGATTCAGACTGTTATATACTGATCAATTCATATATACATATGAAAGAAATCATTGGTACAAAAGATGCATTATCTCTCAATCAACATACTAAATTTTGACTGTCTTCAATTGAATAATTCTCTAACTTACTTCAGTATATATTTTGCAAAAATTAGAAAGTTTCGAAGTAATTTTTACCTTGTTTCTAAAATTAATGACGTTTTTCTTTCTTCCATATTATGTCTATAGTTT